GTGATTGGGGATACTCAATTTGCTTTTATGGTTGGGAAGCAGATTACGGATTGTTCCCTGATTGCAAATGAAGTTGTTGATGTGCTGAGGAAAACTAAGAAACAAGCTGTTTTGTTTAAGGAAGATTTTAGCAAAGCTTATGATACGGTTGACTGAAACTTTTTTAGTCTAGTTTTTTTTAAAAATGGGCTTCGACAGAAGATGAAGGAGATGGATTAATATTTGTATTTTGACACCCTCGATTGCTGTTCTAGTCAATGGATGCCCTTCTAAGAGTTTCTCAATTAAGAGAAGTCTCAGGCAAGGATGTTCGTTGTCGCCGTTTCTGTTTAATGTAGTTAGCGAGGCTCTAAGTGGGCTGCTCAAGAAATTGATGTTATATGGTCTGTGTGGAGGGGTTAGAATTGGTTCTGGAGTTGAAGTTTCTCACATTCAATTTGCTGATGATCTCATCTTCTTTTCGGAAGCGAGTGCTGGAAAAATTAAAAACTTGATACGTGTGCTTAAAATTTTTGAGGTTGATGGTGGGTTAAAGATTAATATAAAGAAGACTAATCTTTTTGGGATTAATATGGAAGATAGTAGGGTTAATGAATGGGTTGATTCAATCTCGTGTGGTTGTGTAAGTTTTCCTACTACGTATTTGGGGCTTCCTTTGGGTTACAAAAAGAACTCCAAGTCGATATGGCAACCGATCGTTGAGAAAGTTAGAAATCGTCTTCAAAGTTGGAAAGGTAAATTGCTTTCTTTTGGGGGTAGAATTAGAATGATTAAAGCTGTTTTGGGCAACTTGCCAGTTTACTTCATGTCCTTATTTTCTATTCCTAAATGCATAGTTGAGTCGATTAATTTGCTTATAATGAGATTCTTGTGGAATATTAAATCTGACAGAGGGATTTATTGGATTAAATGGACCAATGTATGTGGTCCGAAATCTCATGGGGGATTGAGTTTCTTCGACGTTAAAACTAGGAATAGGGCTTTATTGAACAAATAGATTTGGCATTTTTCTGAGGATGATGAGTTCTTGTGGAAGAAAATTATAGTTGCGAGGTATAATTATATTCCAGAATCGATTCTGCCTAGAGCTGTCAATAATCGAAATTCTTCTTGGGTGTGGCGTGACATTATTAACCCGACTATTTTGTCTGAGGATAGATTCGGATCTGAGTTAAGATGTGTTATGGTAGCATTGTACAGTTCGGTATTGCTGTTAAAAATCTGGTAGCATTGCACAGTTCGGTTGTTGGGTTGGCAGTGTCTAGGAGTGGATATTCCACTTAGAAGAGTTCTGTTTGATTGGGAAGAGGCTGTTTGGAGTGAGTTCATGTTAGTGCTGGAAAGAGCTATTGGTTCTGGTCCAGGAACGGATAGATTGAAATGGACAGGTTGTTCTGATAGTAATTATAATTCGAAGGACTATTGCACTAAATTGGATTCAGTAGGTAAAGAAGCAGGTCCTAGTTGGATTCAGGTTTGATGTAAGTATGTTCCGCTTAAAATTTATGCTTTCGTGTGGAAAGCTATGCATCAGAGACTGCCAGTGGTTACTGAATTGATTAAGCGAGGTATTGATTGCAACGCTAATCTGCTTTGTATTTTCTGTAGTTGCTTCATAGAAGATCAAAGTCATTTGTTGCTTTATTGTGATGTCTCGTGGCATGTCTGACAACGATGGTGTAAACTTTGGGGAGTTAATATTGTTTTTCCTAGAAACGTTTATCAGATAGTTAAAATCTGGTTTTCTCAGAATATTAGAAGAAAAAATCTGTTTTTATGGAAAATTGGATTCTTCGGGTTGATTTGGAATATATGGCTGAGTAGAAATAAATCTAGGTTCGAGGGTAAAATTTTCACAGTAGATCAGATCTTCAATATTGTTTTGTTGCAGATAGGTGTTTGGATGCATTTTTTGTGGCCAGTGAAGTTTTCTTGTGTCCAGGATTTTGTTTGATGTTTGGGTTCGTTTTTATTTGTTTGATTCCTATGTTGGTTACTGTTTCTGTGTGAATTATTTTGCTTATATGTGGATGGATGTACTGCTGGTTTTCCTAGTTCGTTTCTGTGCTGCTGGTGGTTTGCTTCATTGTCTTCTTGTTAGACTCAGCATAGCCAGCATTGTTAGGGGCTGTGTAAATTGGTTGAATCTTAAGCTTGCCCAGTTTTAATTTAGATGTTCGGATGGGGGTCTGTTTCGATTAAAGTATTTGATGATCCTATTTGTTTGTAATTAACCACCTCAAGGCACACTCTTTTTCCTCCAATTAGGTTTAGGGAGGTTTTTTAATGAGGTCTTTGGGGTGGTATATTTTGTTCCCTTATTTATACAAAGTACCTCTCTTTCAAAAAAAAAATTAGAGGGGCAGAATTAAGAATTTATTATTGTGAGAATTAAAATATCTTTTAATTTTTATAAATACAATTTTTGTTTTTAATTGAGAAGGATATGATAAATTTTCCTTTATTTATTTTTTTAAAAAATGTAATTTTAATATCAATTAATACTTAAAAAAAATTATTGGTCGGGCCAAGGCTCCCTTGACCCCCATGAAATTTCACCCTATCAATTTAGTATCTATTTTTTTCTTATAAAGTACTTGAACTTGTTTTACTAGTTTAAATTAATGCATGAACTTGGTTTTACATATTAAATATAGGGATAAGTTAAGATTGAACTATGAACTTGGTTTAAATTAATGCATTAATGAACTCCATGGAGAGTTGAGGATATGCAACCTTCAACATGTTAGACACAAACAAGAGGCTAACGGAGCGAATCTGCACGGGAAAGAAAAATTATGCAAAGTGGTACTCGAATAGAGGTGGACGTTACGGGACTGTAAAAGTGAGCAAGTGATGGAAGGTCTCCAACCCCACTCCAATTTGCAAAGCTTGATTGTTGTTGATTATCCAGGAAAAAAATTTCCCTCATGGATGTTAAGACCTATTCATAGTTCTAATACTGGTTTGTTTTTGCTCAACAATTTGATGGAGTTGGAGTTAATCAATTGCAATGTACAAGTCTTCCACCTTTAGGCCAACTGCAGAACCTCCAATTTCTTAAGTTGGAAAACTTGGTGAAGATGGAATCCATGGGTAATGAATTTCATTACGGTCAATGTAGTGGTGGTAACACTGAGGTGATCAAGGTGTTTCCTGCATTGCAAAAATTCACCTTAGAGGGGATGCAAAGTCTAAAAGAATGGACAGAAATGGCAACAGAAAATACGATCATGTTTCCTTGGTTAAAGGAGTTGGAAATATTTGAATGTCCCTTGTGGGAAAGTTTTCCACTAACGGGACAATGTTCTGCTCTTGAAAGCTTCACATTTCCTGGTGTACAAAATTAAGCAAGATTGGAGATGGACTGTCAACCTCCACTTGTCTCAAAGAGTTATTGCTATATCAGTGCCCCGATTTAAGTTCGATTCCGAATTTGGAAGGATTTTCCTCCCTTCGAAATATTGCAGTTGATAGCTGCAACACATTGGAAGTTCTTCCAATAGAAGGAAGATGTTCATCCCTTGAAAAGCTCTGAATTATTGAATGTGAACATTAAGCAAGATTGGAGCTGAACTGTCTACTGCCTCTTCTATCGAACAACTAGAGATGAACTCTTGTCCCAATTTAACTTACATTCCATTTATGGAAGGATTTTCCTATCTTGAAAGATTAAAAATCGCTTCATGCAGCAAATTGGAGAGATTTCCACTGAGAGCACCATTGCCATGTCTTAAAGAATTGAGAATATGGTCTCTTCTCTAGTTAGAATTGGAATTGATCGAAATAGGCGAAGGATTAAGTCGTCTGCTGCCAAACTCATTGCTCACCTTCCTTTGCAATCTAACGATATCTGATTTACCTGATCTGATATCAGTTCCAGAAGGTTTGGGGAGACTGCATTCTCTCTATGATTTAACCATCATGAGATGTCCAAGATTGAGGAGCATTCCAGAAGACAGCCTTAGCAGCCTTTAACTGCCTGTGAAAATTAATCATCGGTGGATTCTCCGGAGAGCTGCAAGAATTCCCGGGGTCTGAATTCCATCCAACATCTCAGTCACTCCCTTCAAGTTTTGCATCTGATCGGATGGAGAAAGCTGAAGTCTCTCCCTCACCAACTTCAACTGCTCACCGGCCTCGAGGAATTGACGATAGACAAGTTTGAAGGAATGGAAGCCTTGCCAGAGTGGTTGGGAAATCTCTCTTCTCTAAAGCTTATGCAACTCATTTAATGCCATAATCTCATGTATCTACCTTCTGTGGATGTTATGCGAAGCCTCTCCGATTTAGAAAGATTTTATATTACAAGGTGTCCTAAGTTAAAGACAAGATGCGCCAAGGAGAGTGGCCCTGAGTGGTCCAAGATTTGCCGCATTCCAGAAACATATATTACAGGTCGCTTGTTTGATATCTGAAACCACAACTCTGCATCATTGTTGTTTATATACAAAATCAAAATGTACAATTTATCTGCCTATGATTATTTGTAAGTTAATTTTTTAATAAATTGCGGCACTGAGAGGTTTCTGTTAGCAGTTAATTTCTTATGGTTACTTTTTGGCAGTTTTGTATTTGGCAATAGTATGTTATAGAATGAATTAAAATTTGAGGATTTGCGATGATGGTATAGAATAGTTCAATCTATATAAAACTCTACTTTCCCATTTGCACACTAATATAGTAAAAAATTCAGTTTGAATAGATTTCTTTCTATACAAGTTACTTTTATAAATATTTTTTTTTCTCTGTAAATAGATACTAGGGATTAGAATTTAAAAGTAAGTTATTTGAAATCTGAAACACATTTAATCGCAAATCTTCTTGTATTCTTTTTCGACATAATGAATTTTCTCTTCTTCTCGTGATTTTTACCCAAAAGGACTTTTCCACGTAAAATGTAAATGTTCTTTATTTTGAGATGATTTTACATTTGTTGTTATCATGCTTACATTATTACAATCATATTGGAAGTTGGAACCCAATCTTCAAGGGAAACATAACAAAATAAAACCTGTTGGAATAATTTAAAAGGTCATTTTACAGCATGTTTCAATGTTGTTCAACAGATAAGACCATTTCAGGTCTTGGGGCAGTCATCGTGCTATGCATTTTCTGAAGCTTATACAGTTCCCTTCTAATCTCTTATTCACCCCTAAAAAAATATGATCAAACCTAAAAATACAATTGCCAAATTCTAGCAGAAACTTTACATTAACTTCTATCGTGGAGCTCACATGGCTCGACAGGAAACCTAAATACTTATAAATTACATATATCTATATCTAAAGAAACAAATGACATCAGGAAAGACAATGGATTTTGAGCATTCTAGATTACCTTCTACTTTTGTTTTGTATTTTCTTTGATTTCCCACACTCGCCAAACAATGAAAATTGTCTAGTTTTGCATGATCGAACAGGTGTTCCCTTGACCTGTTAAAAGAAAAAAGGTCATGTCTTTTTGTATAATCTTGATACTAATCTGTCGGCTTTTATATGTTGCGAGAAAGAAAAGTGTGCATGTGCGTGTGTTTTGGGGGCGGGGGTACCTTTCCCCTCCTAGGCGGCTTCGAGTTATTCCAACAGAAAAGCCCACTGCATCCTCTGGTTCCTGACCCTGATTCATATCCACTAAAGAAAAACCATGAATGAGCATGATGTATACAGCACAAAAACAGATCATAGTCTATTTCTTCACATCGAAAAGCAAATAAGTATCATCAAACCAGTGCAAAAAAAAAAATCCCGACTAGTTACAGAATAGTAAAAATGATTCAAGTTATTACCTCAAACGGTCAAAGACTTGGGAGCAAGAACATTCCCCACTAGTTAAGCAGACAAGAAAATGTACAATGGTCATTCGTTAACTTCTAAAGCAAACCTTTGGACCAATTTAAACCATATATTTAATAATAATAAAAATCTAATTCTACAATACACTGAAAATCTAGACAAATGAAATTAACTAAATTGAAAAGTTAAGCACTGAAAATGTTAGACAGGATTACAATTTTAGGAATGTTCAAAACCTAATAATTATTTTACCGAAACACTAACAGTATTAGATTCTAGTTATGATGAAAAATAATCAATCTGGTTTCAAGAATGTTTCCCAGCATGAAGGCTTTTTATGACCCTTTTTTCAATTATAGTATTACGTACTTACCCATTGCATCGACCTACCAAACTCAACAGAAGTCTTTGAATCTAACATTTAATAGTTGACGAGGAGAATTGATAAATGGTGAAAATAATTGGCAAAAAACGGTAACTGTATTCGTCAAACTCACATGTTTTCTTTGCTTAAATTGCTATTATGCAGCAAGCTGGGAGACATGGGATAATGATCAGCCCTTCTACCTATCTGGTCCTTCTGAACCTCTTGTACATCATTCGTTTTCAAAATTTTAAGCTCCTGGTTCAGTTCCTCATCCCATTGTTGAGAGGAGAATGCCGATGAATTTATTGATCCCAAATTACTTTGACGATAGACCTCTTGAGGTAGAACCTGATTCTTTTCAGGCTTCAACCGACTCAATGATCCAGCAGTGCCTTTCTCAGCAGCTTGTAACCAGGCAGTTTCTAACCTTTGCTCACGAATAATGGATTCAATTCTTTGCATTGGAATATCTTGCCTACTTTCCTTTGAGCTGTCAAGGTCATCTTTGCCTTCAGCTAGTAACTCAGGTGTTCTCACAATAGATTGTGAAGAATAATTAGAATAATCTTGTAGTCCTCTCAGTTTACCTTCCAAATCTCCAAAACTTCCCTTGGAATGCAAGTCTAAACTAGATAAACCATCTAGCACATTCTTAGGAATGGCCTTCCTTTCACTTCCAATTCCGGTTGCAGTTTCAACCTGCTGCAGACTATCCGGCATCTCAACTGGATTAGCATGGTTGTTTAAAGAAACCCCAACATCAGCCAAGAGAATTATTCGAACTTCTACATTACGTCTCATCACGATTTCAATAGAGTTTGTAATACTGCTTAAAAACCTCTCAGCTCTCGACTTGATATCTCCATCCGCAAATGCAAGATAAGCAATTAGAACACCTGCTAGCAGAAAAAAACTGAAAGTATGAGATAAATGAATAACATAAATGCTGTACCAAAATGTAAAGTTTTATATTTAACAGATGGCACGTACATTATTAAATGGATAAAGAAACAAGAGATGGAAAAAACAGGTGGAAGTACATATACAGATGTACCGACTATTGCAGTTGGATTTATATCCATTCAACCTTCAAAAATTTCAACTAGAAGGTTTAAGAAGCAAGATTGATAGGTCAGAATAACAAAAGCTAGCATAGAGATAAAAAAGAGATGAAGAGAATCTATCCCTGTAAAACTTCCCATCTCTTTTGGTGTTTCGATAACACTTATGCATCATAGACCTTCATGGTCTATCTCACAAATATATTTTTCACAAACTGACAACAGGAAGATAGATATTACAGATTTGATGTAATTTTATCAAGAATACTTGTATATCATTCAGTAATTTGCAAAATTATACAAAATAATTTCAAGTTTATAAGCTTACCTTCGTTTTCGGTAAGAGACAAAAGCCTCCCATGAGCATGTAGCAGCTGTCTCAATGTCTTTGAGTGACACTTGTTAATACATTTTGCCCAGATGTCATCTAATTTTTCAGAATTTCTGCAGACAAGTATCATATTTCCATTCAAACTATTGTCATGTGCAGAAGGAACAGCACCACCATCCATATATAGACCGTGATAATTTTTGGAATTGGAACCATAACCATCAATCCTTGACACTAATTCTCCCTGACGATTGGAATTTCCATTCACAGATTTGTGTAATGATGCAGAAGTTGATTTCCAAGGCACACACTGAGTTCCAGACTTCAGCTTGTAAGCTATAGCTTCCCTTGAAATGCTTTGCAGGTCGTCCACAGTTGTCTTTGAGCTCTGCCTCTGGCTGCTGCCTGACTGAGTAAGATCCGGTGAAGGCAATGAACCAAGTTGTAGCAAAGTAGCTGTAAACCATGTTGAGCGTTCACTTGAAAACCTTAGTTGTTTCTCTGCTTCTGAAAGAAGCTTTAAAGCATCTTTTAATCTCTCCATTTCTGCTTCAGTCACTGCAAAGTGTAAGAAAAGTGTAAGAAAAGTGTAAGAATAAAAATAAATACATAAAGCACCGCAAAAGATTAGCATTCAGAAGAAAATGCAATATGGGATCATCTGGATACAAGAGTCAAGACTATCATTTCTTTTGCATCTTCACAATCATCGAGTATTACCAAGGAAATATATAGTTGCTGGGAAAGAAAAGAAACTTGTACCTCATACAACTCCATTCTGCTGAAAATGCATAAAATGATTCTAATACACCTCCATTCTTCTGAAAATGCATAAAATGATTCTAATATTGTGTAATTAACACTTTCCTAGATTAGGCATTCCTTGTAAACTATAAATAGCCCTTACCTATTGTCAATGAAAGACAACAATTTTGTTCAATTTCAACATGAAAATGAGACCATAAGAGAATCTTGTATATTGGCCTTTGCTTATTCAACATAAAATAAAGGGCCATAAGGAAATCTTGTATATTGGCCAGCAAAAGAAGAGGAAAGTTCAACATGTTATATTTCTATCATTTTTTATTCAAAAAATCATATGATTTAACTTGCTTTGTTTTTGTTATTTTGATATTCACAATGTTTTTTGTTATCATCACTGTTGACTGAAGCACATCAAACTAATTATATCATAACTAGAAATGTCATTTTCAATAAAGAAGCTTTAATAAAGTAATTGGATGATACTCACAAGCTCGTCCACCAAAGAATGAGTTGCTGTACTTAGAATCAGCAATATTGTATGTTCCAGCAATGATATCCATAATAAGGCTGGCCAGTTGAGACATCAAAAACATTGGATCAACCCCCGAGTCCATCAACTCTCTAGCTCTTTTTACTGTTTCTGCTGTGTCGGATGACATAGCTAATTCCAAAAGTTCCAATAACTTCTCATCTGAAACAACCCCAACCTGCAGGAAGAAAGTTGTCCAAATAACTCAAAACTGTTCATATGTACAAAATTATATATATATATATATTGAAAAATATAGTTCTACTCAGGGTTTCAAAAAACGGTCCGCGATATAGCGGTTTTGCCGCTGTCCGAGTTACCCGCGACAGCCGCAATAGCGTCCGCGACGACCGCAATAGCGCCCGCGAAGGCCGCAATCACGGTAAATCCGAAATAACCGAAAACGCGACCGCAACCGCGATTTGAAGCCCTGGTTCTACTTATTGCTGGGACTTGCCAAACATGCTATATTTCCATGTTATTCTACTAACCATAACTTTATAACATTCATGAAGCAACCAACTAAAACACGAAAATGGAGTAACCATGCCAAGGAGTATTTTCAAGCATACTCACAAGTTCATTTACAAGGGATGCAGTGATTCTTTTACCCAACAAACTTAGCTGGTCTAGCATTGTTTCTGCATCTCGAAGTGAACCATATGCATTCAATGCAATTAAATCTAATGCATCTGATTCAACATCAAGATTCTCATCAGTAGACATCTTCCTCAACCTGGCCACGATATCATCATCTTTTATTTTGTTGAAGAGATACTTCTGACATCGTGATTGCACAGTCCGTGGAACATTCTCAATATCAGTTGTTATGAATATGAACACAAGGCATGGTGGAGGATCTTCAAGGAATTTCAGAAATGCCAGCCATATCTTAGAGGGCAACAAATGACACTCGTCAATAACAAAAACCTTGTATCGTGAAGAGCTTGATGGGAGACCTGTTAATAGGCTTTTCAAAAGGTACCTAAGTCTATCAATCCCTCTTCTATTGGTGCTGTCAAATTCCCAAAACTCCCTCTGTTTCCCGGAAATAAACTCAGTGCATTCTGTACAATAGCCACAAGGCTTAACATCTTTGGTAGTCTGACAATTCAAAGCAGCAGATAAAATTCTCGCAGCTGATGATTTTCCAGTTCCACGGGGACCTTGGAAAAGATAAAAGGGGGCAATTCTTCCCTTTGAAACAGCATTTACAAGTGATTGTACCACAATATTCTGCCCAATCAGTTCATCAAAGAACATCGGTTTGTATTTCTGACTTAAGCTCTTAATATTTTCTGGCGTACCCTCCTCTGTTTCTCCTGTAAGGGCTACAATCTCTAACCCATCTTGACTCCTGCAGCTCGATGACCATCTCTTTCCATCCAATCTACTTAGGGCCTCTAAATCTTGCTCTCCAAAGTTAGTAGAGAGTTCATCATCAGTACATCTGGTTCCGATGGATGACCCACCTCTTCCATCAGCACTATTGCTAAGCAACGGGAGAACACCTTGAGCACTTCTCAAAGCAATTTTCCGCTTATTGGAAAGAGACACTGATCGTCTATGTCTATGGTACATGGATTGACTTCCGCAGAGAATGCTACTTCCTTTTCTTCTTAAAGTATCAGAGAGAGAAGGAGAATAACAACTCCCACAAACTACTCTATGTTTGGGGGTCCTCTTTGTCCAATAGCAAGGAATACCACATCCTTGCTCACCAGGCAAATCCAAAGGGTCTTCGACCTCGTCATCCCTGTCATTCAATGAAGTCGTGGTCGCATCCCATGAGCCAACAACGCTTGGATTCCGATTGAAATACTTCTTAAAAGAACTAGTTGACAATGCAGGAGTGCTATACGTATAAGAAGAATCTTCCCTTCTGTCAGTTCTCAACAGTCTAGAGGATGAATGTGACCAGTTCTTATGCTTGAGCTTGAGAAGCAGTGGGGATGCCCCTAAAATCTTGCGAAAATCCTGGGAATTACTATAATCTTCAGTGTCATCAGATTGATCAACAGAATTACCCCTTCCTAAACCTAAAGCCAATGCAGGATGAGCCTTGAGCAATTTCCTCGAGTGAACCGAATTCCTATTAACACCATTCTTTTTCTGTTCACATCTAGGAAAAACATCAAAACTCGAACTATTCTTCTTAATATTCTTGTTGACCCCCAACATTCTTTTGCCGGAAGGTGTGACCGATAAGATGGGATTCGCATCTCTACACCTGAACATCAACGAAGCAGATCGACTCTCACCTAAACAGGTATCACTTTTTGAATCCCCACACTTCCTTGCATCACTCAAGGTATTTTCATCCACACTACCTTGAATCCAAGACGACGACTGATCCCCATCATCGCCATCATCAAAATCATCACCGTCGTCATCCCCTTCATCATCCACGTTTAAAGATGAAGAATTCTGACTCCTCCAATTATAAAGGAAAACCCTCTTATCTTTCTCATTCCCATTAGCAACACTACGACCACGATGACTATTGCTTTCGACTCTAAAGGGTAACAAAGATAAATCCAAATGAGCATTCACATTCGACCTATTTAAACTTTCACTACCTAAATGATTTCTCGAGACAGTACAAGCAGAAGTCGAGCCTGCATCTGTTGCTTCCACCACTGCCGCTACAGATCTAGAGGAGTTGATCCGCGATTTCCACGAAGAAGTGGTCCCGGGATCTCGTAAAACTCGGGCAGCTTTCCGGATTTGAGTCAGCTCCTTCTTCAAGTGCAGCCTGCTCGGATCAGCCATTCTCACATCCGACATTTTTCTTCTTCTTCTTCTTTTTGCTTTTGGGATCTCAAATCAGCTAAAGAAAAATCACCCCAGAGCAACAAAATCGCTAAAGACTGTACAGTTCTATCTCGTTCATCGCGTCCATCAATACAGATGCAAAACAGATCAAAAAAAATTGGAACGTGGAAGAAGGAATTATTACAATTTACAAAGGCAAATGGATATTGAGAAGGGAAAGCCTATGAATGCGGGCAGATGTGACAGGTTTTTCCTTTAGACAGCGTTTTAATTAGTTGATATGTAGTCTTAGCGTGGGACTATCAATGTCTAATGAAAATGAAAACTGGATTTCTTTTTCTCATTACAATTTTCTATACACTTTCTAGGGTTTTTTGTCGCCTTTCAGTTGGCGCCCCAAATGATATCTTTTAAATCTTTTGCTGTTTTCTTTTGGGAATAATTATCTTACTTTCAATATTGGTCAAATTTTATACAAAGTCCTTGTACTATGCATTTCCTTTTTCCATTTGATCATTGTACTATAATTTCATCATATGGCTAATTTATAAAAATAATATTTATTTTATATTTATTTATCAAAATAACATCCAAATAATATTATTGAACAAAATGGAATACATTCAATAAAGATGCATCACGTGAGAAGTACTTTTAAAATGACGTATTTTGTAGGATGTACTTTTATCAACGTGATAAGTTTTTATATATGATCACTCTCATCCTGACGATACATAAATATATTATTTTTAATCATTCAATTAAGATATTATATGAAAAAAATATTATGATGATCGTATATAATTGTAAAAAGAAAATATTAAGTCATATATTCACATCGCAAACATATGTAAAAATCGTTGCATCAAGTTATTTAACAGAAATAATAGAGAAAACATATCAAATTAAGGATTAAATCCAGTAAAAATGTACAACCGAAGAGCCTAACGTGCAATTTAACATTTTGATTTTCAGGTCAAACTCGTGGGAAACTCCCTCCAACGGGATACAATAGAATTTATTTTATTTTCAATGTCACGTTACTTTTATACTTGTATTCATTGTATTCTATAATAAAATAATTTTAAAATTAAATTTATAGTTCAATAAGATAAGGTATAAGTTTTTATATAAATTTTCGTTTTTTCAATCTAAGGGATGTTTGTTTGCCTCTTAATGGAAGCATTCAGCTCTGAATGTTGAACCGTTAAACATTCAGCGCTTTTGTTTCGCACCTCTGAATGATTCAGTGTTGAATGATTCAGCACAGAAGTACATTCTGAATCATTCAGAGTCAGTTATCAAACAACATGTCACATTCAGAGCCAAACCATCCAGAGCCTCTGAATCTTCAGCATTTGAATCATTCAACGCTTAATCATTCTGAAGTAAACAAACAACCCTTAAATATATAATATCATATAATTATATAACTCATATTCTAGTAGTTTAGTTTACAAATTTAAACATATCTATTTAATATTTAAAATCAAACATATATATTATTTTACAATTATATTAAAATTATCGTAGAAAGTGTTAAATATTTAGTAGCAGACTAACCGTAAAAATCAAGGGTAAAGTACATAAATAGGCCTCAATTATAAGGTATTATTTTGTTGAGTCCTCCAACTATTAAAAGTTACAAAATAGTTATTCGACTATAAGATGTTGTTTATTGAGTTTCTTGACTATTAAAAGTTATAAAATAGTCATTTAACTACTTCTATATTTCAAACTCGTCATTTTCCATTAAAAAATTGAGATAGTTTGTGTTGGACGTTAAAATTTTAACTAAGATATGATAAAATTTAATCACAGAATCTTAAACGAGTATTATATCCTAGTCAGCACGTTAATGTCTAGCAAAAATGACTATTAATTTTTTAACGAAAAATTATGAGTTTGGAACATATGAATATTCGGGTGATCATTTTGTAACTTTTAATAGTTGATGGACTCAACAAAGAAATACCCTATAATCGAATGATCATTTTATAACTTTTAATAGTTGAGTGACTCAACAAAGAATCGTCCTTTAATTAGAGGACCATTTGTGTACTTTACCTAAAAATCAAGGGTAAAATAAGAATTTAGTAACTAAACTATCAATTTTAGTCCGTTTTAGTACCTAAACTTTTTAATTTTTTTCAAAACTATACTTAATGTTTAGTTTTTTTTATTTAGTACCTCATCGTTAAAAACTTAACGGCTTTGCATTTTTATGGGTAAATCACATCATTCATCACTCAACTATATTCTCACTCATATTTTGGTACTAAAGTTTAAAAATTTTCAATTTAACTACTCAACTTTCAAATTGCTCCTATTATAATCACTATATTTTATTTTATTAATAATTTTTGACATGATACTTTTTATTATTATTTTATTAATATATAATTAAAAATGAAAAATAAATAAATTTGAAAGTTAGAGTGATTGAATATGAGTAATTTGAAAATTAAGTAATGAAATTAAAAAAAAAGTAAACTTTAGTGACCACAATAGGAATGAGAAGATAGTCGAGTGATGAATGATACAAGAGATGTCATATTCAAATTACCAGTTAATTTTTAACTATGAATTCGATTGAATTCAACTTAATTTAATACTTATATCTCTCCTCCTCTTTTTTTTCCTTTTCTTTACAATTTGTGTTAATTTTTATATATCAAATCAATTTTTTATTTTATTTAGTCAGTGGTACCGATTTTGATGTTGGTTGTCGACCATCGATTATCTTTTTTCATTTTTTCTTTTATTTTTTAATAAGAATAAGTTTATTTTTGTGATACGTTTATATATGTCTTTGTGACACATTTATCTCTATCTTTTGGTAGTTTTTAGTTGTTTGGTTGTTATTTCTGTTTATTTCCCCCCTCGATGTTAGGTTTGACATCGTTACGACTGATCAATATGTCGTTTATTTGTTATCATTCTAATCTTCCCTACTTTGGAGCATCAGATTGGTTTGGATATACATTTTGCGTTCTTGAATAATTTTCTCACATCGCTTGACTCTAATTTGTGATTTGTCAATGGTCTTACAATAGCTTCATCCCTTTTGTGGTTCGTTTGCCGATGCAATCAGATTTGTTCACATATTTATTTTGTTCGAGCTTTTTGGTTAGGTTTTTTAACCTTTTCCTTCTTTGGTCATTCTGTGATCTAGATGATTAGTTTTTGTGTAAATTGTTATAGGAGAATGTCCTAATTATAATTTAGTTTATGTTTACGATTATATATGTAAATATTTAGAGAAAATAACTTCAGTGACCGAAAATGTCTTATAATATACGATTTTAACCATTTTTTTTGGATTTGCAAAAAATAACCAACAAATTCGCAACACGAACTCCAATTTCGCAACTCAATTTTGAAATTCGCAACTCGAATTTCTTTTTCGCAACGCGATTTTCTAAATTCGCAACACGAACTCTAATTTCGCAACGTAGTTTCCAAATTCGCGAATTTGGTATTCACAACACGGAATTTCAAATTCGTAACTCAATTTCTGAATTCGCAACGCAAATTTCTTTTTCGCAACTCGATTTCTGAATTCGCAACGCGAATTTCTGTTTAGCAACGCGATTTTTAAATTCGCAACACAAGTTTCCTTTTCGCAACAAGATTTTCTAATTCGCAACACGAATTTTGTTTTCGCAACACGAATTTTAATTTCGTAACAACTTTTATTTTCGCAACATAAATGTTTTGGGTATATAAACTACGTTGCAGTAACTCATAACCTAAATACCTAAATCGCAACTCATTCCATCTCCATCTCTTACTCTCTCCGGCGACATCCGTTCCTATATCCAACGACATCCTTCCCCATCTCTAATTGTTTTTACATAATTTTATTTCTATATATTTTTTCAATGATTTCTCTCCCAAATTATGAACTATCAACTTAATAAATATATGTTTTTCTCTAAGTTAGTGATGATATCTAGTTTATAGCTCGTTTGTTTAGTAAATTAATTTACAATTTGTAGAATGAAATCATATAATGTTGATCATGTTTGGATAGATTTGTGTTATGGAGGGTCATGGGATAATGTTAGTGATGTTTTACAATATATACCTTTACCTATGAATCTTCAACTAAAACTGTCATTAAAAAAGTTAACTTATGAAACTATAATGTTACGTGTTTCAAAGAAATTGAATTTAGAGCTTCTAAGTGGATTTAAGCTATCTTATCAGAGAAAATGTAAAGTTTATTTGTTAACCGACAATGAAGATGTTGAACGATTCATTGCTTACATCAGTGTTTCGCAAGATGATGCTATATTATATGTTGTTGAACCTAGAAGTAGTATGTTGGGTCAGTAACGAGTAGTAATCAACTAAGTTATTCAGCCCCAGTTTATGGTGCTCACAATGTACAATATTGTTATTAACCTCAAAATTTCATGGTTTCGCTACAATTTCATCACCAAGAAAATTTTGTTTCACCACATTTCCAATACCAAACACAATCTCAAACACAATATCAAAACCCACAACCTTTTCCTAATCCATATCCCAATCAACTTTCAGCACCAAATTTCGATTTTCGTAATGACCAGTTAGAAGATGATGAGCCAACAGAAAAAATGTGAGTACTAGTCAGTATTCAAAATTTGATCTTGGTCAATACCCGGACTTTGATCTTGGTCAATACTCAGATTTTGATGATGTTTCAGAAGAAGAAACAAACTCTGCGTGTAATGATTTTGATATTAGTCAATACCTGAATTTTGATTATGAAACAGCCGCTGCCGAGGAATATGTTATTGATGATAATGATGAGGAAGTTACGGTTGTGAATGAACATGTTGAACATCCATTCTGCAATTCATATAACCCTAAAAAAGAAGAAAAAGAAGAAAAAGAAGAAGAAGTCCCCGAAGAAAAGACAAAGAAGAAAATGCCACGGGAGTATAACTGGAATATGCCAGAATTACTTCAGATACCGGAAGAAGAGTTGGTAAAGATAGCAGTTGATTGTTACACAAAAGTTATTCATATCAAGAAAGATGATTGTTTTGATACAAATGAAGACTTGAAGATAGCTTTGTATACGAAATGTGTGGAAGATGGCTATCAACTAAAAGTTAACAAATCAAGCAAAGATTGTTTCGAAACAAAGTGTAGGATTGACAAAAACTGTACGTGGCGTATGATTGCAAAG